CTGTTGATCTGCATATAAACAATATGTACAAGCTTAAGTCAAAATTAAATACAAACAAGATTAAAGATATTTCAGAACTTTGTGGAAAGAAATAGAAATATTAACAACAGTGGTAATATGTCACAGCTTTATTTGCAGGTAAAGAATTTTAATAGTAAGTGCTAAAACACCCCTTAAGCACTTGTGTTATGAAATAACAATTGGCAGCATTATACTGTCTGACATGGTTGTTTAGAAAATTCATGTCATGACGATTGGGGCAGTTTTTGAGGAACTGACTTGCTCCATCAAAATTGATCATGATTTTGATATTCTTGAATTTTTTTTTATTGCTACTTTTTTACAAATGAGTGATTACTACTAAAATACACTAACCAGAAGTGCAAATGTTCTCATGATTTCTTTTCAAATGTGCTGCTTAAACAATAATGTTTAAGAATTTGGAAGAAGAAAGTCTGTTTAAATATTAAATTGTATGTTCTTGTAACAGTGACATTAAAAAAGCCAGATTACTGCTTAAATCAGTACGCGAGACCAATCCTCATCATCCTCCAGCATGGATTGCATCTGCGAGGCTTGAGGAAGTAACAGGAAAACTGCAGGTGGCCAGGAACCTAATTATGAAGGGAACAGAAATGTGCCCGAAGGTATTCAGTATTTTCAGGTGGCTTGATGTTGTGCCTTGAATGTGCTTTTCACTTCAGTATTTCATTTAATGAGGACTTTGTTCCATTTAGTTTTATCAGATTATATTTCAGGGTATGGTAATATGTACAAAAACAAAGTTGCTGGAAAAGCTCAGCAGGTCTGGCAGCATCTGTGTAGGAAAAAAACAGAGTTAACGTTTCAGGTCCAGTGACCCTTCCTCAGAACCCTGCGAGATCTGCTGAGCTTTTCCAGCAACTTTGTTTTTTTACATATTACCATACCCTGAAATTCTTTCCGTTTTTATATGGTAATATGTATTTCATTTTATAATATGTAATTCATATTTATGGATAGCTTTGTGTTTGTTGTGTCAAGTTGCTGCAGTATATTTCTGTAATTTCTATATATCCATAACTGCTTATTTCTTCATAAACACTTGCTCAGCAGCAGAATCTTAGCTAAAAATGCACACCCTAGTGTGTCCATTTTTGCGCAAACTAAAATTCTTGCTAATTGTGAAATTCTCTTGCCACTTTTAGAGCTAATAGCATCTTGTACCAGGAGGGAAAAACTGTCAATGAGACTGCTTGTTCTCTGTGATTCATTTTTTCCTTTTTTTTTTAAACTGGAATTCATGCAGTTATTTTTTTCCTCTCATGCAGTGTTCTCTCAGAATCGGAGACAATATTGTGCTCCTTGTGTAGACTTGTATAGTGTCTTTAACATAGCTGATCATTCATGTCAAAAAAAAGGAAGAAAAATAGATAGAGAGCAAGTGTTTGGAGAGTCTGTAAAAGGTTTGTGGTAAATTATCAAGATGGGATGAGAAGAGGTTATGGTATGTTGCAAGATTAGAAAATCCAGAGCACACTGCCATGGTAACTAAAAGGTCTACCACTGATTATTTGGAGGTAGGCAATGCACCAGGGTAAAATAATAATTTGTAAGTGATTGGAATTGTGTTTCACTCTTGCATTCACTTTATAGATCCAGAAAATTGAACAAGAAATGGGTATCAGGATTTCTGCCACACACGTGGAATAGCTTTAGTTTTGACTGTTTGCTAAGTAATTGATATTATGACATCTATTTGTTGCAACGACCGCCATTGAAAAGATTAGCTGGTGATTGCTAGCTGTATCATTAACTCGGTCTGCATTAGCAACTGCTGCCACAGTCTTCCCCGCTCCCCCCCGAAGTATTTAAGAATAGTTAGCATGAACAAATAGCAAATGGATATGTAAATTGTGCCTAGTTAAGAAATTGGGGTAGTTTGGATGCCTTTTCAATAGGTGGGTATGATATAAAATGGAAAGAATTGTAATTTTACCCAGTAAACTGTAGGAGCCTGAAATAAAATATCTTTTACTAATCAGAAAATTAAAGAAGTATGAAGGTGAATTGCCTTTTTAACCCACTTTGCATAAGAATTATGTATTTATTTTATGATTACCACTCTGAGGTATTTGGCAACTGTTAAAGTGTAATATATATGCCCAATTCCGTAAGAGAATACGGAGATACCTTAATGCTGCATTAAGGATGGTTGGGGATTGTGAAGACTGCTGCTTGTCAGAAAAAGCAATAATAACCTTTAAGATTAATAAACTTAAAAGTAAATAAAGTTGATTTTATTTCCAGTAAATTGCATTGTATATTTCTAGAGTGAAGATGTTTGGTTGGAAGCAGCTCGACTGCAGCCTGGTGACACAGCTAAAGCAGTGGTAGCAAACGCAGTCCGACACCTGCCGCAGTCTGTGCGTATCTACATACGAGCTGCAGAATTGGAAACTGACATTAGAGCCAAGAAACGGGTTTTGAGAAAAGGTGAGTACCAGGTTTGCAATTAAACTGGAACAAAAACAAAGTTGCTGGAAAAGGTCAGCAGGCCTGGCAGCATCTGTGAAGGAGAAAACAGAGTTAACGTTTCAGGTTTGGTGACCCTTCCTCCGAACAATTGCAATTGAAATTGCAACTGCAATTAAAACTGTTTGGCTTATGCATCTGAACTTAACAAAACTCCAAGCAACTGAGTAGTACGTTGTTCATCTTTGTGTTTGTCATTCCCCAAAACAGCTGTCAACTAATAGGCACTAAATTGCCAATGTCATTCGTAGATCAAACGAATATCTGTTGGGACAATCAAAAAGAATTGCATTGCTGCGGAGAACAATGGAAAGTAAAATCAGCAGAGTTTATAGTGGGTAACCCATGGATGAGCAAAGCCTGCTTTGCACCCTCACCAAAACTGAATTACTGACTTCCAACCATGATGGGGTAATGCTTCTGAGCCAGTAAACTAAAGGCTCGAGTGATCCAGAGATACAAGCTTGAATTCTTCCTAGGCTGTTGGTGGGATTTAAATTCAATTAATTGATAAATGAACAAAAAGAAAGCTAGCTTCAGTTGGAATGACCATCAAGATAGGTTTTCCTTTTCCTCATTTTCCCACTCTTCAAGCCCTCATATTCAACAGGCCATCCTCCACCATTTTTGCCAGTTTCAATGTGATTCAACCACGAAGCACATTTTGCCCCCCTTTCAGTATTCCAAGTAGTCTGTCCCCTTTGTTACACTCTCACCCACTCATTGGTCATCCCATACCAACTGTTTGGTAAGTTTCAAAGAGATCCTCCCTTATCCTTTTAAACTCCATCAGGTACAGTCCCATAGTCCTCAACTGCTCCTCACGTGACAAGCCCTTCTTCCTCAGGATTATTCTTGTCAACCTCCTCTAAACCCCCTCCAACACCAACACTTCCTTAGATACAGGGCCCCAAACTGCTCTCAGTATTCCAAAGGTGGTCTGACTAGGCCCTTATACAGTGTTAGTAGTACATCTCTGCTCTTGTATTCTACCCCTCTTGAAATGGATACTAACATTGCATTTGCCTTCACAACTGCCAACTGAACTTGCATGTTAACCTTCAGAGAATCCTGAACTTGAACTGCCAAGTCCCTTTGTGCTTCAGATTTTAAAGCCTTTCCCCATTTAGGAAATAGTCCATGCCTCTATTCTTCCTAACACTTTGAGATAACCTCTCACTTTCCCACATTGCATTCCATCTGCCACTTCTTTGCCCACTGTCCTAGCCAGTCCAAGTCTTCCCACTTCCTCAACACTACCTGTTGCTGTACCTATCTTTGTATCATGTGCAAACCTAACAACAATGCCCTCAGTTGCTTCATCCAGATCATTAATGAATAGCGTGAATAGTTGTGGTCCCAATATTAATCCCTGCAGAAGTCCACTGGTTATGAGCTGTCATCCTTAAAAAAAAACCATTATCCTTGCTGCCTACTGCCAGGCAACCAATCCTGTATCCATGTCAGTACCTTGCCCCTAAGGCTGTTACCTTATTTTAGCAGCCTCCTGTGCGATACCTTGTCAAAAACCTTCTGGAAATCCAAATAGTTGATTGTCTACCAGCTCTCTCTTGTCTAACTTGCTTGTTACCACCTCAAAAAAAAATTCTAACTGATTTGTCAGGTGCAACCTTCCCTTGACAAAGTCTTGCTGACTCAGCCCTACTTTGCAATGCACTTCAAAGTATTCTGCGATCTCATCCTTAATAGTGGATTCTAAAATCTTACCAACAACTGAGGTCAGGCTAACCAGCCTGTAGTGTCCTGTCTTCTGCCTCCCTCCCTTCTTCAACAGGGGTGTTATGTTAACTATGTTCCAGTCCAATGATTCCTGAAAGATCATTATCAATACCTTTTTTTTTGTTTTTAAGCTGTTTTTCTAATCAACATGTTCATTGATGTCATTACACAATTCTGGTGAGGTGGACTTGAACCCAGGCCTCTCTGGTCCAGGGGTGTGGACACGACTACTGTGCCACATGAGGGCCCCACCAATGCTTGTACAATCTCCTTCAGGTGTAGTCCATCTGGTCTGGGTGATTTTTCAACTTCAGACCTCACAGCTTCCGCATCACTTTCTTGGTGATGGCCACTATGCTCACTTCTGCCCCTGTCTTGAAGTTCTGGTGTGCCTCTGATGTCTTCCACTGTCAACACTCATGGAAAGTACAAATTCAGTTCCTCCGCTATTTCTTTGGTCCCCATTCATACTTCTCTAGCCTCAATGTCCAGTGGTCCGATGTCCACTGTTGCCTCTCGCTTATTTTTTATATGTCTAAAAAAACACTTGCAGTCTTCTTTTAAATTACTCGCTAGCTTAACCTCCTATTTCATGGTCTCCCCACTTATTGGTTTTGTTTTTCTTATCTTCTGTTGGTTTTTATAGGCTTTTCTCAATCCTCTGGCTTTCCACTAATCTTTACCACATTGTGTGCTTTTTCTTTTGCATTTATGCTGTCCCTGTCTTCCCTTGTCACTCATGGTTGCCTTCTTCTGCCCTTAGTATGTTTCTTCTTGGGTTGAATTTCTGTTTTGCCTCCTGTCATTGCTGCTGCATTGTCTTCCCTGCTAAACTCCCCTTCCAATCTACTTTAGTTAGCTCCTCCCTCATGTCCTTGTTACCTTTACTCAATTGTAAAAGCGTTACATCTGATTTCAGCTCCTCCCTCTCAAACTGTAGTGTGAATTGTATCATATTATGGCTCCCTCATCAAATCTGTCTTATTATGCATCAACAGTTCCAGATTTCCCAGTTCTCTGATGGGCTCTACCACAAGCTCCAAAAACACCGTCTCGTACACGTTCCACAGATTCCTTTTCTTGAGATCCATTACCAACCTTACTTTCCCAATCCACTTGCATATTGAAGCCCCATATGATTATTGTAATAGTGCCTTTTTTACATGCCTTTTCTTCCTCACAACCTGACTACTACGGGCAGGCTTGCATGTAACTCCCAGCAGGGAGTTTTGTTTTGTTTGTGGTTCCTCAACTCTATCCACACAGATTCTGCACCTCCCAACTCTCTCTTCTTGCTATTGATTTAATTTCATTTCTTACTAATAGGGCAACACCACCCCTCCACCCATCTGCCTATCCTTTCGATAGGACGCATATCCTTGGATATTTAGTTAACCTTGCAGCCATGTCTGTGATACCCACAACATCATGCTTGCCAATTTCAGTTTGTGCTACAAGCTCATTTGCCTTGTTTCATATATCGCATAGCTTTTAAATTCAGAAGATTGAGGGGGGATCTTATAGAAACATATAAAATTATGAAGGGAATACATGAGATAGAAGTAGAGAGGATGTTTCCACTGGCAGGTGAAGCTAGGACAAGAGGGCATAGCCTCAAGATTAGAGGGAGCAGATTTAGGACTGAATTGAGAAGGAACTTCTTCACCCAGAGGGTTGTTAATCTATGGAATTCCTTGCCCAGTGAAGTTGTTGACGCTACTTCAGTAAACGTTTCTAAAGATAAGGTAGATATTTTTTTGAACAATAAAGGAATTAAGGGATACGGTGAGAACGCGGGTAAGTGGATCTGAGTCCATGAAAAGATCAGCCATGATCTTATTGAATGGCGAAGCAGGCTCGAAGGGCCGGACGGCCTACTCCTGCTCCTAGTTCTTATGTTCTTAAGTACAACACCCTCAGTCCTTCGTTGACTGCCCCCCCTTCTCATAGGTTTCCCCTTAGCTGGGGACAACTATCACCGACTAGGTGGCTGGATTTGCACTGAAAGGCATTCAGTCTACAAGCATCAGCCTCTGCTGCCTGTTAATTTAACTCTCTCCCTCCTTCCATGCTGATCTTTCTTATTGCCTGCAACACTACCCCCCCCCGCATCTGTTCTAACCCTCTCTCTCCCACACACCCCCCACCCAATGAAGTCATACACACACCTACTCATGCACACACTCATTTTCACATCCACATCTCTTTTAAAAACCTGAACCTGTTTAAATAAGCATCTAAAGATTTAAGGAGGTGCATAGCGCATGCGCTGGTATCAGCAAGTGCAGCCTAAATGATAGCACTATCTCTTCCAGAGATGCTGCCTGACCTACTAAATTCTCTCACCATTTTTTGTTCTTATTTCAGATATCCACTATTCACAATATTTTGCTTTTGACTCTCCAGCTATTGTTATAAAAACTCATTTGATTCACTATTGTCCTTTTAGGAAATTAAAACTACCATCTTTACCTGATCTGTTGTCCATGTTATTCCAGAGCTAAAGCAAAGTGATTGATTCTTAACTGTCATTTAAAATGACCTTGCAAGCCATTGGTCACTTGCATCCCATTAGAATTAGATATTGTTTATTCACTAATAACATTTTACTTGGTCTCCTTCGATCTGCCCAACATTGATCCACTTCGTCTTACAAAACTGATCTGATGGGCAGGTAGTTAAGTATTTTACTGAGAAAGCCCAATAAAACATTTCAGTTTAGCTTGAAGAAACAAATGAAGAAACAAAAAAAACTCACTCAACTGACTTGACAAAATAGGCTGTTTTGGTTTAGCCTCCCTGAATAGTGTGTCAATTTCTGGCGTCATATCCTCCTTCGCTATCTGGCACTTAGCAGTGGGTGTGTTCGCAAAGCTTGTTTGGACATGCACGTTCAGATAACGTTCAGAAGAAATCTTGTATGTAATGTTGGGGAGAATTAATTATTTAGCATGTAATTAAGAGCATGGTGGATACTACACATGCTGTATTATAGAGGCATTCATTTGTTAGTTTTCAGTTGAGGTCCTTCAATGGTTTGATGATTTCTTCCAGAGTTCAATTACTTCCGTTGTCCCCAAAATTGAGGATGGTCAGTTCAAATGGTGCATGATTTGTAATTTTTTGGAGACACGTTTATGTAAAAGAAACTGAAGGATGTTTAGTGTCTGAATTAATTGCTCACCACTCTTTTATGTAGAAAATCTTTTATTCATCACGATTCCTTTTTTGCAATGAAAATTTTTGAGGTTTTGAAATAAATGTGACACGTACAGAATTTACAAATACAAACATGATAGAAACTGCTTCTGAGAGTCGCTCTCTAGCTCATCAGTTTTGTAGGTTTTATTAAAATATGCAGTGATTGGTGCTTCCTATTTCTCATGTATTTTTAGAAAATGTGATCATGAGAAGTCAACTTGCATTCCAGTAGTTCTAGAAAACATAGAACAGTACAGGCCCTTCGGCCCATGATGTTGTCGCTTAAATGTCCCTAACGTATCTGACTCCATTACCCCCGCTGTGTGGATTAAGTGGGTTATAGAGATGGGTCTGGGTGGGATGCTCTGAGGGTCAGTGTGGACTTGTTGGGCTGAAAGGCCTGTTTCCACACTAGGGATTCTATGGTTCATTCAAAAACTGTTCTAAAGACTCGAAAAAATATATAATAACAAGTTCAAAATTGCTTTGTTTGTTTTGGCATTAATACTAACGCATACGAAGCATTGCTTTTGACCTAAAGAGTAATTATGACCCACTGAAGCCTGAAACCTGTTTCAAATCTGTTTAACTGGTTTATATATTTTTTTAATTGTTTTGGCATAGAATCAATATTTGGAATTAGATTAGTTGGTTATACAAGAAAATTAAACTCCACATGAAAAATGATTTAACAGTAAATGCTTTTTAAAACTGTACAGTAGTTTATTTGGTAACTTATAGGCTCTAGTAAGTCTGTAGAACTTGTAATCGTCGTAACTCAATTGATTTATGATAATGAAACAAATAATAAGTAAAAATCCTTTAGTTTCAGTAGCAGGTTTTCAGGTTTCCAGTTTATGTTGCAAATGATCCAATGTGACCGTGGCTGGTTAGGAGATTCAATCTAGGAAATTTGCAGTCTTAGTGCATAATAAAAATCTGATGTTCTTTCCTGTTTTAAAATCACTTACTACTTGTTCTGGAAACTTGAAGTAATCTACAAAGTATATGTTACTTTGTTCTCGTTTCTTTTTATGCAGGAGGTTGCGCTATGTATTGGGCCTCTATCATTCAAATCAGCATAGCTTACATCAGTGTAGTAAATGTTCTCTTGGCTAACTGAGCTGCATATTTCCCACACCAGTTTTTATTATACTCAGTTAATGTGCACATTTCATGTTGCTCAGTAAAATGAAATGGTTTTGTTTTCAGCCCTGGAGCATGTGCCCAATTCAGTGCGTTTATGGAAAGCAGCAGTTGAACTTGAGGAACCTGAAGATGCACGTATTATGCTCAGTAGAGCTGTCGAGTGCTGCCCTACAAGTGTTGAAGTAAGTATGCAGGGGTAAAGGTTCTTCTTTTTTGAAAACCCCCATAATAACGATTCTTGCTTATTTTGTTTAGTGGGTCCTCAAACTAAGGAGATAGATTTTTCAAACGTGCATATTTCAGAACTGTGAATCTAAAGTTTAAATTATTTTTTCTCTAATAGCTTTGGCTTGCTTTAGCAAGATTGGAGACCTATGAGAATGCTCGAAAAGTACTCAACAAAGCAAGAGAAAATATCCCAACGGATCGGCATATTTGGATTACTGCAGCAAAGCTAGAAGAAGCTAATGGAAACACCCAGATGGTTGAAAAAATTATTGACAGAGCTATTACTTCACTAAGAGCTAATGGAGTGGAAATTAATAGAGAACAGTGGATTCAGGTAATTAAATGTTGGTGTGAGTATCAGTCAGAGCTTTTCAATTGAGCTGAATCACGTGTAGAATTAAGTTAAGTCAGTTGAATCTGATATACTTACAGTATAGTAGACCTAAACTAAAAATTGATGGTCTGCTACCATTATATATTTACCAGCATAATCTGCTCAAAGCAAGTGGTGATAACACTTGACCATCTTAGATTCTATTAGCTATGAAGATTGAATTCGTTCTCTCACATACCTCAGTGTGAAGGTAACTTGAGTAACTGCAAAACCTTTTTTCAAAAAAGGAAGCAAAGGGCATCATCAGATTTCAAGTTTTTTTTTTAAAAGATGTTTGAGATCTTTCCTATTTAGGTTCTTTTAAGGTCTGCTATACATTGAAGCTCCCAGAACCTGATTGAACTCTTACCAAAATATGCCTGTATTATGTTAATTTTTACAATACCCGTGAAAATATTCAACTTTAGGTTCAAAGAAAGAATCATAGCAATTGTCCCTTTACTCTTACAAATTACAAATACATTTTCATTGTTATTATAATGATCAAGGAACACCATCCCTTTTGCATGACACACTGTAAACTGCAACTGAATTGGTGAACTTGACTTTTCAGATAACATTGAGAAATCTCCAATCCCACCTCAATGTAAATATAAGTCCTTAGTGACTGGAGGCTTGACTGTATATAAAGTGATAAACGTGTTTTTTTAACTTTGACTCTGAAATCCTTCAGTAGTTAAACCCTTACCATCATGATTTAAGTTTTAATTTTTTTGGATGCTTCTTCCTGACAGAAATGTTTTGTTTGCAACAAGGTTAGGGAAGCGCTGTAGAGAATATGAAATAAAAAGTATTAGTCCTGTAATAGACAAATTCTTCGAAGAGAGAAAGTAATTCGTACTTGTGCCTTGTGTCCTGCAAAATACTTGTGTGCAGACTGATACGGTAACCAAATTACACCCAAAAGTTTTGGTTATCTATTTAGAGCCACATTATCTAAACAATGCTATCTTAACTAAACAGAGTGTAACCAGCAGTGAGTGGAGTGTAGCAGTTTGGTAAGTAGGATTTGAATGAGGTGGGGAGGGATTTTTTTCTCTTTCTTTGCTGTCTTGTTTTCTTAACTACTTTCACAGATCATTGGGGACAGGAGCAGCCCAAGGTCCAAGAGCTGGGAGATTATAATGGGATTAACTGAGAAGCACCAGACATAAATAAGAGGTAGTGAATAAGAAAAGTAGACTAAAGTTGAGCAAAAGGGAGTATCTTTTAAGTAATTTGAAAAGTTAGCAGGTAAGACTAAGTTCCAGTTTGTCATTTCAGGTGAGGTCAGCCAAGTGGAACATGTGATCTGTCAGGTAGGAGGAAATGATAGATCCTACCAGTGTCCTAGATGACCATGAGAGCAAGAAGTGCTCCCAGCTTCAGAAGCTTGAGCTTGGTATTTTGGAGCTTGAGGGGTGACTGGAAATACTGCAGCACATCTGCAAGCCTGAAAGTTATGTGGATAGCATGTTTAGAGAGGTGGTCACATTGCAGCAGCTCACCGTACAGGAAGAAAGAAAGAAATGGGTGAACATCAGGCAGTTGAAGAGTCAGGCAGGTAGTCTCCTGGGGTCTGGGTCACAAATCAGTATTCCATTTTGGAAGCTGATAAGGGCTGCAGACAGAGCCAGGCTCTGGCACTGCAAGCAGCCAGACTGTACAGGAGGGGAGGAAGAAGCAAACAGGAACAATAGTGATAGGGATTCATTGGTTAAGGGAACGTGCAGGTATTTCTGTGGCACAAACATAATTACAAGATGGTGTGTTGCCTCCCTGGTGCTAAGGTCAGGGATGTCACTGAGCAGCTGCAGGGGGCATCCTGAAGGGGAAGGGTCATAAGTCAAAGGTCGTGGTGTACCTTGGTACCAATGATATGGGTAGAATGAGGCATCAAGAATTTAGGAACTAAGCAGTAGACTAAAGAGCAGGATTTTAAAGCTTGTAATCTCTGGATTACTTCTGCCATCTGCTCATCAGTACAGAAATAGGGAGAATAAAGCAGATGAATGCATGGCTCAAGAGTCAATGCAGGAGGGGGTGATTTGAATTTCTGGATCACTGGGACTATTTCTAGGAAAGGTGGAATCTGTCCTTTGTGGGTTTACTCATGCTGTTGGGAAGAACTTAAACTAGTTCAGCAGAGGGAGGGACACAAAATATTGATACAATAAAGACGTGGCATACGTTAGTAAAGGAACCAAGGCAGGGGGACTTCAGCCACGCTGAGTTTCATGAGAGTAAGGCAAGGCATATTGGCTTCCAAAGTTAGGAGTGTAACAGGTAAGGCACATGAGTTAAGGGTGTGGATTGACACATGGAATTGTGATTTTGTTGCCATCACAGAGACTTGGTTGAGGGAGGGGCAGGACGAACAACTCAACATTCTGTGGTAAGGATATTCAGCAGGTGGTGTTGCATTATTCAAGAAGTCAATTACCGCAGCACAGGGACAGTATTCTGGAAGAATCTTCAAGTGAGGCTTTGTGGGTAGCGCTTGGGAATAAAAAGCAGACAAAAGTGTATTATAGACCCCAGACAGTCAGTGAGCAATAGAGGAGGAGAATGTAGACAGTTCATGGAGTTGTGTGAAAACAATAATAGCAAATTACGTGGAACAATCCCTCTTCCGTACCTACACCAGCCCTAAACCCCACCTCTTCCTCCGTTACATTGATGACTGTATCGGCGCCGCCTCGTGCTCCCACGAGGAGCTCGAACAGTTCATACGCTTCACTAACACCTTCCACCCCAATGTTAAGTTTACCTGGACCATCTCTAACACCTCTCTCCCCTTCCTGGACCTCTCTGTCTCCATATCGGGCAACCACCTAGAAACCGATATTCATTTCAAGCCCACCGACTCCCACAGCTACCTAGAATACTCCTCCTCCCACCCACCTTCCTGCAAAAATGCTATCCCCTATTCCCAATTCCTTCGCCTCCGCCGCATCTGCTCCCAGGATGAGGCATTCCACTCCCGTACATCTCAGTTGTCCTCGTTTTTCAAGGACCGTAACTTCCCCTCCTCGGTGGTCGAGAACGCCCTCAACCGTGTCTCCCACATCTCCCGCACCTCATCCCTCACACCCCGTCCACGCAATAAGAACCAAAAAAGAATCCCCCTCGTCCTCACGTACCACCCCACCAACCTTCGGATCCAACGCATCATCCTCCGACACTTCCGCCATCTGCAATCTGACCCCACCACCAAAGACATCTTTCCCTCCCCACCTTTATCTGCTTTCCGGAGGGACAACTCTCTCCGTGACTCCCTTGTCCGCTCCACACTCCCCTCCAGCTCCACCACACCCGGCACTTTTCCCTGCAACCGCAGGAAGTGCTACACCTGCCCCCATACCTCCTCCCTCACCCCCATCCCAGGCCCCAAGAAGACTTTCCACATCAAGCAGATGTTCACCTGCAAATCTGCCAATGTGGTATACTGCATCCGCTGTACCCGGTGTGGCTTCCTCTACATCGGGGAAACCAAGCGGAGACTCGGGGACCGCTTTGCAGAACACTTACGCTCGGTTCGCAACAAACAACTGCACCTCCCAGTCGCGAACCATTTCAACTCCCCCTCCCATTCCTCAGACGACATGTCCATCCTGGGCCTCCTGCAGTGCCACAACGATGCCACCCGAAGGTTGCAGGAACAGCAACTCATATTCCGCTTGGGAACCCTGCAGCCCAATGGTATCAATGTGGATTTCACAAGTTTCAAAATCTCCCCTCCCCCCACCGCATCCCAAAACCAGTCCAACTCGTCCCTGCCTCCCTAACCTGTTCTTCCTCCCACCTATCCCCTCCTCCCACCTCAAGCCGCACCTCCATCTCCTACCGACCAACCTCATCCCGCCCCCTTGACCTGTCCGTCCTCCCTGGACTGACCTATCCCCTTCCTAACTCCCTACCTACACTCACCTTTCCTGGCCCCATCCCCGCCTCTTCGACCTGTTTGTTTCCTCTCCACCTATCCTCTCCTCTATCCCTCTTCTATCCGCCTCCCACTCTCTCCCTATTTATTTCAAAACCCCCTTCCCCTCCCCCTTTTCTGATGAAGGGTCTAGGCCCGAAACGTCAGCCTCTCTGCTCCTATGATGCTGCTTGGCCTGCTGTGTTCATCCAGCCCTGCACCTTGTTGTCTCGGATTCTCCAGCATCTGCAGTTCCTACTATCTCTAGCAAATTTATATTATGGGATTCCAACTTCTCCAACATTTATTGGGATAGTCGTGATCTAAAGGGTTTTAGAGGGGGCAGATTTCTTGAAATTTATTCAGGACCGCTTTTCATATCAATATGTAGAAGGTCCAACGAGGGACAGTGCAGTGCTAGATCTCAGTCTGGGGACCAAAGCCAGACAGGTGCTCAAGGTGACACTGGGAGAGCATTTTAGTGATGGTGACTACCAAAACTGGACGTTTAAGTTTGTTATGGAAAAGATAAAGATGGCCTGCAAAAAAGGGATTTTGGATTGGGGGAAGGTAGATATCATTAAAATAGTCATGAACTGGCCAAAGTGGACTGAGAGCAGCTATTTCTGGGTAAATCTACAGCAGGACAGTGAAGGCATTTCAAATAGAATTGGCCAGAGTACAGACCCAGCATATTCAGTTAAGTGAGATGTAGGTGAGAAAAGTCAAGAGAATACTGGATGTCTAGAAGTATTCAGGACTGGATAAGAAGGAAAGGAGAGGCTTTTAAACGGGAGCCTTAATGGAGCATAGAAAGAGCAGAGTGAACTTAAGAAATTCAAAGAGCAAACAGGGGCATGAAAAACACTGATGGTAAGATTAGCAGGAATTCCAAGATGTTCTACAAATATATCTAGGGGATTAGGATAACCAGGGAAGAGAAGGCTCACTCGGGGCAAGGGGGCAATCTGTGCATGGAGTTGGAGGACACCGCTAGGGTGTCTTCTGTCACATCTGTCTTCGTTTTGGTGAAGGAGGAAATAGGTACACATTTGGAAAGAGTGACAATGAGGTTCTTGAACAGTTTGACATTGAGGAGGTATTGGAGGTTTTGCCAGGCTTAAAAGTGTACAAATCCCAGGTCTGGATGAGTTGGATCCCAGGCTGCTATAGGAGGAGAGAGGAAATTACAGGGCGTCTGACCCATATTTTTAATTCCTCACAGGACAGCTAATGTGGTTCTACTTTTGAAGAAGACTGGTAGAAATGAAGTAGGGAATTACAGAATAGTGAGTGGTCGAGAAAGTTGGAAGAAGTTCTGAACGAAATAATAAATCTCAGCTTGGAGAGGCAAGATTTGATCGGGATAGTCTGCATGGCTTTGTCAAATGGAGGTCATGTCTAACAAATATCTGATTTCAATTTTTCAGCAATGAGCAGGTATATAGCTGAGTGAGTGCAGTTAATGGTATCCATATGGATTTTAGCAAATCCTTTAACAAGGTCCCACATGGGACACTGATAAAAAAGATTAAAAAAACACATGGGATCCAGGGTAACTTGGCAAATCGGATCCAAAACTGGGTCAGTGGTAGGAGATAGAGGGTTGTGGTAGCGGACTGTTTGTGTGACTTGAGGCCTGTGTCCAGTGATGTATCACGGGGATCAGAGCTGGGTCCCTTAATGTTCATAATATACATAAATGAAATGGAAGAAAATGTGGGGGGCTCGATAAGTTTTCAGATATGAAGATTGGCCAAGTAGTTGAAAGTGGGGAAGAAGGTCGAAAGTTAAAGGAGGATATAGACAGATTGGTCAGATAGGCAGAGCAGTGACATAATTTAACAGTAAGTGTGAGGAGATGCACTTTGGAAGAATTAACAAGCAGCAACACACGTTTTTGGGGTAGTTAAGACGACATATGGAACACTTGCCTTCATCATTTGTGGCATAGATTATAAAAGCACTAGAGAGGTTACAGAGGAGATTCACTGTGGTGGTGTTGCCTAGGATGGAGCACTTTAGCTATCTGATGCTGCCTGGCCTGCTGTGTTCATCCAGCTCTACACCTTGTTATCTCAGATCCTCCAGCATCGGCAGTTCCTACTATCTCTGGATAAACTTGGGTTGTTTTCTTTGGAGCAGAGAAGGCTCAGAGGGGACTTGATTAAAATGTATAAGATTGAGGTGCATGGACAATGTCACCTAGAAATCAACTGTTTACTTTAGTTGAAGATTCAATAACAAGGGGATATAATTTTAATGTGAAAAGGGAGTTTGTAGGGGATTTGAGGAGAATGTTCTTCATCCAGAAGGTGATGGGAATCTGCCTGGGGAGATGGTTAAGACGGGAAACCTCACAACCTTTAAAAGTTATGTGGATGTGCATTTGAAATATCATAACATTCAAGACTGTGGACCAATGTGCTGGAAAGTGGAACTAGTGAAGATTTTCAATAGTTTTTTTGTCAGTGCAGAGATAATGGACTGAAAGACATCTTTACTGTATGATTCTATGATTCTAAAAGAGGAAGTGTGCCATTTTGGTGAGAAGGACGAAAATGACTAATTTTGGTTGCCTTCTTGGGCATTTGGTAGAAACTGTCCTATGTGCTAATCGTACTTTTGAGGGTATTATCTAATATGCATATTTAAAAACATGTTTAATTTAAACGTCAAAGCAGAATGGATCTGAACTGTAATTGAGGCTAGTAAGTTTTTTAATTTAAACATGCCTATCAATAAAGAAATGTAAAACTTTTTGCTCCCTGGCAATTGCGTGCAGGATTGATTGTCATACTTTTAGATTTGGCTCACTGCTTCAGTTAATCAAAGGCACATTTCATGGTAAAATGTTTGCTTAGTGTCTGACTCACCAGTGAACTTCCTCCAGATGTTCTGACAGTCTTCGGATGTTTTGAGAATGTTATTTAAAAAAAAAGACATGTCATTTGGTTTATTTTCAGTATTCATTGTGTTTTTTAAATTATATGTCTAGTTATGTATTGCGACCATGCAATTGTTTTGTCAATTTTATGATAAGTTATCAACAAACAAATTTGTTACCAAACTTAATAATTGACTTCCTGTCAATTATTTGAAATAATTTGTGCCAGGCAAATTTGTAAATAATTTAGGGCAATTGTTTTGGAATACATGCACTTTTTTTTTGTACAAGCTTTGGTAATCGTAAATCTGAATTAGTAACTGAGAAATTACTGTTGCTGATCTGACAGTTATCAATCCATTATTTTAATGGAAACATTAACCTGTTTGTAAGGAATGTGTTATTTTATTCAGTTGATGCATATTGGACTGTCATATGTATAGATTCAGTGTGATTCTGCTACAAAAAGGAGCAATTACCTCCTTCCTGTAATGTGACCAAAGCTGCACGTAGTACTCCAATTGTTGCCTTATCAGTGTCTTATACAGTTTCTTCATTATACGTCTACTTTTGTACTCTATACCTCTGCTCATTGAAGGAGACCATTCTGTATGCCTATGTTACAACATTATTTACCTATATGCTATCTTCAGGGACCTTTGCACACAAAGGCCACTCGCTTCATCTATCCCTCTTAGTATGTTCCTATTTATTATGTATTCCTTTTCACTGTTCAACCTCCCTAAATGCATTACCTCACACTTATCGGAGTTGAAGTTTGCCACTTCCCTGCCCATTTCACTAATCCATCTGCATCATTTTGGAACTTACAGCTATCCTCTACGCTATCCACTATACAGCCAAGTTGTGTCGTCTGCAAATTTCCCAATTGTGCCCCATATGTTCAAATTCAAATCGTTAATGTATAAAACAAACAGCAGGGGTCCCAACACCAAGCCCTATAGAACACCATGAAACAGCTTTCCATTTGCAGGGGCAGCCAATGACCATTACCTTTTGTCCCATGGATTTTTGCTTTTATTGACCAGTCAGCCATGTGGGACTTGGCCAAATGCCTTACTAAAATTGACATGGACAACATCTACTGCACTTGTAAGGCATGACCTTCCCTTAACAAAGCCGTGCTGTATATCCCTGACCAGTCCATGCCTTTATAAGTGACAATGTATCCGATCTCTCAGGATTGATTCTAACAATTTGACCGCCACCAGAGTAAGACTGACTGGTCTATAGTTTGGCATTTCCCCTTAAACGATGGTACAGTCACTTGTGCATCAACAGAATTGAAATTCTTGCTACAGAGTATGTTGGGTCTCTGAACGCTTACTTTCAGATATTGGGAGGGCTTTTGCTTCACTGTTTATTGCAAGATCTAGACCTGTATCTGTTTAGTGTATGTTGTGTAGCACCTTGTACAGAATTCCTGGTTACATACCATAATGATAAAATGATAATGTGACAGTTTGAAAGCTAGAAATACTTAGCTCAGATTTGCAATAGTTCCTTTATGTACTTCCTTGACCTGAATTCTTGAATAGAGTTTGTAGCTCCTGACCAAAGTGTTTACCTCAGTTGTTTACTGATCATTCCTAGAAGGGTTTAGTAAGTGGTCAATGAGCAATTACAACAATACTTTAACATTTATAGGGGAGCGATGTTGATTTGAAATATCCTATTTTTGAACATAATCATTTTAGAGACATTGCAATTATTAAAGCATTTTCATTAATATAATCCAATAGTTTAAACTAGATTCCTCTGGGTTTCCAGTGCATAGCATCAGCATGTATTTGTTGATCATACCCTAACCTGTTCTCCCTTTTCCTTATAGAACAAGATTGCAGTAATAGGATACTCTGGAACTCTCTACAGAATTAAAATGAATAAACAATTTCTGATAGAATGTGTACTCCAGACAAATCGCATTCTAGGTTTTGTTTTAAATCTGTCTTAGAAATCTTGGTGACTATCGGTAGATGTGAGCTGGGACATAAACTGAGGATTTTGTTTTGTAAATAATGTCCGAAGTAACTATACAAATAAACTTCCATATTGTTTGTTTGAAATTCTATTCAATTACTTTAGTAAAAATTAACTGAAAGCTTTTATTTAAAATTTGTTCATTCTACATAACTGGCTCTGTTTATCTGTAATATAAATGTTGATTTAATTCTTTAATGCAGCTCACATAGTTTTCCTGTCTTTGCAGGATGCAGAAGAATGTGACAGAGCAGGAAGTGTTGCCACCTGTCAGGCCATTATTCGTGCAGTTATTGGAATTGGAGTTGAAGAAGAAGATCGAAAGCATGCATGGATGGAGGATGCAGAAAGTGTAAGTGTGGAGAATATTTTTATTAAAAACTGTACTCAAGTTTTATTAAGTGAGAGTGTCTCTGCCTCTGTTTGACACTAATGCAGCATTTAACCAAGTATGGTATCAAGGGGCCCTAGCAATACTAAAGTAAGTGGAAATCAGAAGAAAAGCTTTCCAAACGGTGGAGTCATACCTAGCGCAAAAGTTGTTGTTCGTGTCAACCCCATGACATCTCTTTAGGAGTTCCTCAGCATAGAATTTTAGGCCAAGTCATTGACAACTACTTCACCAATGACTTTCCTTCCAATTTAAGAATTGGGTATGTTAACTGGTTAGTGTTGAATAGTATTCCTGATAATTAAGCCGTCTATGCTCTATGCAGCAAGACCTGGAAAACAATTAACCTTGAGCGAATAAACGATCAGTAACTTGGCTGATGCTCTAGCGCAATGCTGAGGGAGTGTTGCACTGTTGTCTTTTGTATGCAATGTTAAACTCAGGTCAAAAGCTTCTAAGGTTGGCTTTAAGATCCAAGGTCATTATCTAATTGCTGTTTCTGGGAACTTGTTTAATGTAAATTGGCTCCTTTTTTAAAATGCTATAGCAGTGATTACATTTTAAAAAAGCACTTCATTTGGAACATGATGACATTTTTAAAGTTACTAGATAAATGCCAGACTCCTTTAAAATTCCATTGGAACATGTGAAATAAGCTCAGTAGTAAATATGCTGTCATTTATGATTTACCTTTTGACAAAATTATTCCCAGACTAAATATGATTGGAGCTGAGCAGTTGAAATTGTATGTTTGTTCAGTTTAGTAATAGTTTGAATCCAAAACTTTGTAGATTTGTTCAATGTTTATTTATTACTTCTTGTAATTTGTTAAGATCATTTTAATTTGTTTCATGTTTAATTCTGTTTTATTATTCAGTGTATTTCTCATGGAGCACTTGAATGTGCGAGAGCAATTTATGCACATGCCCTCCAGGTCTTTCCAAGCAAAAAAAGTGTGTGGTTGAGAGCTGCGTACTTTGAAAAAAATTATGGCACCAGGTACTACTACAACATTTCTATTTCACTGGCATTACTGTACTTGGCAAAGATGATCACAAAATAATTTTTTTGTGTTAGTCTGAGCACCTCTATTTCTGTTTGGCTAACTTTTATTATGCGTAGACTAGATTTGATGAGAAGTCATGTAAAAACAATAGGAATAAGCTGCTATCACGTTAAGTCACGATTATAGTCTGTATGTCTTAACCATTAAGATAAAAGATATCTTCCAATCATCCTGGTCAGAGATGTTATTGCACACCTCTGGAGTAGGAGAGACTTGAACCAAAGACTCCTGTTTTGGAGGTATGCATGCTACTCCTAGAAGGGCCCTACCCTTAAGTTAGAATCTTAAGTTTTTTCACATGTATTTAAATATTAAAGTGCAGTTTCCTATGTACCACCTTATTGTGAAATATCTTGCATGATAACACGAGGTGATTGCATGATTTTATGCCATTTTAAAAATTTCGAATAAGCCTCATTACATGTGAAGCTGTAATGAGCGACTGACCATAATTATAGTTACATCTGGTTTAAAAATAATGGATGGTTTTCCTGGAACGAACATGAAAACTTAAATGAAATGATCCTATTTTATTTCAGAGAATCTTTGGAAGCTCTTTTGCAGAGGGCCGTGGCTCACTGCCCAAAAGCGGAAGTTCTTTGGCTGATGGGAGCTAAATCCAAATGGTTAGCTGGAGATGTGCCTGCAGCTAGAAGTATTCTTGCACTTGCATTTCAGGTTTGTATGAGTAACATTGTGGTGTTTGATAAGAGTTTTGGAAAGTGCTTTGAATTGTCTCCTGATATATGGTGTCAAGTTATATATTGTATCAATAATCAAAAAAGCAAAATTCTATGGATACTGTAAAACTTGTATCAAAACAACAAATCCTGGGAGCTGGAAATGCTCAGACAGCATCTTCAGAGACAAACAGTTGCATATCGTATTGATAACCTTGCATCAAAAATTGATTTGGTAATTTGGTTTAAATAACCTTCTAAAGCAGCAATATTTTTTCTCCCTGTCTTCTCTGCTACTCTGTCATACCTTTTATCTTCTGACTGAAAGGTAAGACAGACTAAAAAGTCCTTGACTGCTGCCAGGGTTAGAAGCGGAACTTTTCGTCGAGTAGGCATCTCTTGAACGTATTAGAAATTGTGTTCATAGAAATCAAGTTCTACTAACATATATGTTTTTTGATTCAGATTAGGGCTCCCTATGAATAAAAGTTTTTAGTTCCTTTCACAAAGTTACTAATTGCCTAATTTAGTATGCATTTTAAATGCCGTGGAACAATAATAAAAATAGTGGTATGCCAGGCTGGATCAATTAATAACACTCTTCTTTCAGATTAAAAATATACCAGAACAAACTCCATTCCAGGCAGGAGCATATAATCATATAATAACCAGTGCATTGTCTGAGGTGTCAATTTTCAGCTAAGACATTTAACTTGTGGCTCTGTCTGTCCGTTCTTGTGATTCAGCAGGATACATAAAGTTCGAAAAGTGGCAGTCCGTTCAGGTGCTCAGGCCAAAATCCCTCCCTCAATTTTGTTGTCATCTGCGATTGCTCGCTAACAATTGCTGCTATGTCACCAAAAGCTCAGATGTAAACGTGCTGCCCTGCCACATTGAGTTGTGAATAGTGGGGTACAACAAAACAAATAGGAGATGGGGCTAAGCAAATATCCCCGTCGTCAGTGATAGGAGAAGCTGGCACGTCAGTGCAAAAGACAAGGTTAAAACATTTGCAACAATCTTTAACCAAGTGGCTGATTCATCTTGGCCTCCTCCAGTGGTCCCCAGCATCATAGAAGCCAGTCTTCGATCAATTCTGTTCACTCCATTTGATATCATAAAATAGCGGAAGACCTGAATACTGCAGAGGTGATGGGCCCTGACAACATTCTGCCAAAAGTACTGAAGACTTGTGCTTCAGAACTAGCTGTGTTCTGAGCCAAGCTGTTCCAGCACAGGTACAACACTGGCATCTATCCAATAATGTGGAAAACTGCTCATGCATGACCTTTGCATAAAAAACAATACAGATCTAACCCATTCAATTACTGCCCTATTCATTTACTCTTAATGAATTACCATTACCAGAAATTGATCTGGACTTGGACTAGTGATAAATATACTGTGGCCAGAAGAGCAAGTCAAAGGCTAGGAATTCTTCACTGAGTAAATCACCAACTATCTCACCAATGCCTCTGAAGCACTTATAAGGCATGTGTCAGGAGTGTGGTGGAATATTCTACAGTTGTCTGGATGCAGCTCCAACAACATAATCCAATAAAAGCAGTTTGTTTGATTGAGGCACCATTCATCGCTTTCAACATTCCCTCATAGAATCCCTACTGTGTGGAAACAGGCTATTTGGCCCAACAAGTCCGCACTGACTCTCTGAACATCCCACCCAAATCCCTGTAACGCTGCATTTCCCATGGTTAGTCCACCTAATCTGCACATTCCTGGACACTATGGGTGATTTAGCATGGCCAATCCACCTAACCTGCACATCTTTGGGCTGAGGGAGGAAACTGGAGCACCTGGAGGAAACCCCATGCAGACACTGGGAGAATGTGCAAGCTCCACACAGCTAGTCGCCCGAGGCTGGAATTGAACCCGTCCTTGGTGCTGTGAGACAGCAGTGCTAGCCACTGAGCCACCATGCCAACCCACCAGCAATACAGAGGTGGTCATGTGTACCGTCTACAAGATGAACTGCAGTAACTCACCAAGGCAACTCCAACAGCACCTTCCAAACCCATGATCCCTGTCATCGAGAAGGGAAAGGACAGCAGATGCATGGGAGCACCACCACCTGCAAGTTCCCCCATCCAAGTCATATACCATCCTGACTTGAAACAATATCACAATTCCTTCACTGATATTAGATCAAAATCCTGGAACTCCCTTCCTAACAACATTGTGAATGCTCCTCCACTGCAAGGACTGCAGTGGTTCAAGAAGGCAGCTCATCACTTTTTCCAGGGCATATAAGGATTAGCAATAATTGCTGATGTAGTCAGCAATGCCACATCTCTTGATTAAGGTGAAATATTGGTGTTATAGTTCTTTAATTTCAGTAAGTATATTTTGGATTCATTGTATATTTTTATTTTGTAATAGGCTAACCCAAACAGTGAAGAGATTTGGTTGGCTGCTGTTAAGCTGGAGTCTGAAAATAATGAATATGAAAGAGCACGAAGACTGTTGGCTAAAGCTAGAAGCAGTGCTCCCACTGCAAGAGTAAGTAAATCTAGAGCATTTCAAATTTATACTTGATATAATCAGTGCTCCCTTAGATGGATGCATCAATAATAATTGAACAATCTACATTGTTGCTTTAAAGGAATATTTTTGCTGTATGTTTTAAATAATATTATGTGACTAATATATAGAAATCTTCCAAGCAATGGATGAATTGAAAATATTTCTTGTCTCTACATTACTAAATGTTGGTATAATAATAAATTTAATTCCCCACTATCAACATCCTTGGAGTTACCATTGACCATCAACTCAGCTGGACTCGCTGCATAAAGACAGGTCAGAGGTGAGGAATACCGTGACCAGTGACTCACCACCTTCCTTCCTGTCGGTCATCTGCAAGGCACAAGTCAGGAGTGTGAAGGAATACTGTCCACTTGCCTATATGTCTGCAGCTCCAACAACACTCAAGAAGCTTAACACCATCCAAGACAAAGCAGTCTGCTTGATTGGCACCATACCCACAAGTATCCAATCCCTGTACTAGCGACCGACGCTCGGTAGCAGCAGTGCGTACTATCTACAGGATGCACTGCAGAAATTCATCAAAGATCCTCAGATGGCACCTTCTAAATCCACGACCAGTTCCATCTAGGACACTCCACTGCAAGTTCCCCTCCAAGCCACATTCAATCCTGACTTGGAAATGTATCTGTTACTTTACTGTCTCTGTATCAAAATCCTGGAATTCCCTCTCTACGGGTATTGTGGATCAATCTACAGCAGTTCAAGAAGGCAGCTCACCACCTCCTTCTCAAGAGCAACAAAGGACAGGCAGTTAATGCTGACCAGCCAGTGACGCCCACATCCCACGAATGAATAATAGAAAAAAAAGTTTCTGTTTAGTCCTTTACATGTATTCTCCTCTTAAAGGCAATATTAGTTATTTTCTCAAATCTGCCAGGGGACAGTTGTTTACGTAAATGATCTTAGAGGTACATGAATGTGTGGAAAACAGTGTTCTAAAACAACGTGAAACACTTTTTTATGTCAAAATGTTCCCTTTTAAACATTCAGATCCTAGCTCTTTGACCAAGGAAGTAACTTGATACTGAGCAAGATATTACACTAAAGAACCATTTCTGAATTATCTTAGTCATTACCTGAAATACCTTTAGCTGAATTTGTCAGTGGTCTACGATATTCCCCATCTGCTCCACATGGTCCAATAATCCAGTGCCTTTCAGTTCCCTTCCAAGTCATACGTCATTCTGCCTTGGAACTATATCACCATTCCTTCTCTTTTGCTGGGTCCAAATCCTGAAACTCCTTTCTCAATAGTACTATGGGTGTCCCTGCAGTGTAAGGACTTCAGGGTTTCAAGGCATCAGCTCACCATCATCTTCTCCAGGGCAATTAGAGATGAGTAATAGGTGTTAGCCTCTCCAACCAACACCCATGTTGAATGCACAAAAAAAAGCATCTTGGTGAACAGGATGTTCCGGCTGCACAATTGATATTATGTTTACAGGAGCTTTGTTCCAGTAAGCTGCGTGGTTTGATGATTAAGTAAACTTCAGGCATACTCTTTTGCATTATGGAAAGGTGGTGAGTTGAAGAGTGATTCACCTTAAGCTATGGCACTATAAACTTGCCTCGAGGTTTGCTGACAAGGAAAACATGTCTGTTCAGGGAGGAAGTGTACAGTTTGTTTTAGGAATATAAACCTGTACACGCATGGAATCTCTGTACCTTTTATTTATAGACTGCTAAAACTACTGATTCATTTCAATGCCTTATCAAGTAAAATTGTAATATTTTGGGTTCATAAGAACTTGAGTGGGCAATTCAGCTCCTTGAGCCTGCTCTGCCATTTAATGTGATCATGGCTGACATGAATGGATCGAGGATTGGCTAAATAATGGAAGACAGAGTTGGGATAAAAGGACATTTTTAGGATGGCAACTTGCAACCAATGGTGTGCCACATGTATTGGTGCTGAGGCCACAATTATTAACAATATATATTAATGACTTAGGACGAGGAAAATGAAATGCACTATAACCAGGTTTATGAATAACTCAAAAATAGGATGGAAGGCAAGTGGTAAAAATAATAGTCTGCAGAAGGATATAGACAGGTTAAGTGAACAGGCAGAAATTTGGCAGTTGGAATATAATATAGGCAAATTTGAGGTTATGCCCCTTCAGAAGGAAGAATGAAGAATGAAGGAGTTAAATATTATTTAAATGGAGAAAATCTGCAGAAAGCTATGAAGCGGAGGATTTGGAAGTTCTTGTTCATGAATTACAAAAAGCTAGCATTCAGGGTAGTAGGCAGGCAAATGGAATATTGGCCTTTATTTCAAAG